GGGGGGAGCATGTCAAGCAGAAGCCAAGTTTGGTTAACACTATCCATTCACATTTTACACATTTTATCCCAGGTTTTCTGTTCTCAGTAGGATAAACTACCAATACACATCAATAACACTTTATTTTTCCTCAAAATTTAGTGACACTAACAGTAAAAATCTGACCATTATTTGGGGACTGGTACTTTGAGAATACCTGTTGTCATGCTGACAAATGACTTCTTCCTTTGCTACCTATTTTAAACTTAGTTTACAAGTCTGGAGCCTTTGTATTCTAAAAGCACCTACCATGGCAGAATCCTAACATGTAATTATGGTTTTTACATATTTTAAAAAAATCTAAATATGAAGAATAACCCAGGATGTTGCCACACAATAGAGTTCCTATTGCCAGAGTTTAGTAATTTAGACTTGGAGTTAACTAGCTTATGTTAAAAGTGAGGACACAATGTCTTGTGCTTACTAGATCTCATTCTATTTAATTTAAAAGAAATAGGCAATTTCCCCTCCCTCAGCACATAATGCAGACAATGGCTGAGGAGGATCTAAAGTAATGCTACAGCTGCTTAGCTCTCCCCTTGCATTAAGTTCTGCATTCATTTCTGCTCTAGTCTGTATTTCTATTTTATAATGAAACATACAGCCTAGTTATTTATAGGCTTTCTAAGGATTAACTACACACTCATAAGAATAAACCCTCAAGAGGTTAACCTCATCCTCTTAAGCTTCACACACTACAATCCCAGAGATAGCTGGCAACCACAGCCAAGAGAAAAAATAATCCCACATCTTGCTAATCCTTTAGCCAATCACCTCATGCAACAGTGGAAAGGCCTCTCGGAGGCCTACAACTCAATCTGTCTCAAGAGTACTGTCAATCCAAAAGATACATATTTCAGAGCCATTAGCTATCCACCTCCAAAGGCAAAATAAGTCATACTTGGCTACTCAGTGGTACACCAAAATCATGTATCTAAAATGCAATGCTGAAAAATACTACTGTTTTCCACGTATATTTCCCATTCAGATATTTGTTCATTCTACCCAATCTACCTAATTAATTTGAAAGTAAATCTAAAACTCTGCATTGTTTACAACTAGATAGACCAATTTAAAAGTCCCTTATACTTCCCAGCATGAACTTTGAGTACTTTCCATTTTCCATCCGGATCATATCTCTCAAAAAAACCTTGAAACCAAACCTTCAAGCTAAATCATGATTATCTACCTAATGCATTCATACTGTGATCTGGATTCTCCCTTAACCCCAAATGTGGACAATGCCTGCAATTGCAGCAGTGCCAAGGAGATAACACATACACTTATCTTTAAGTCAAAGGCTTCTGTTTTACTATTTATCTAGCAAAATTTCTCCTTTAATATAATAAATATTAAATGGTGTCATTCAAAAAAACATGTTTAGCCACAGTGCTACCCCATGGCTGGAAGTTAAACCCTTCAGGAACATGCAGGAAAAATACAAGGCCAGAGGTATGACTGTTAATAACTAAATATCCACTGTTCTTTTCTGAGGTAAGAATTTTTAATCAACACAGTATTATTGCTTACAAGCTCACTGAGTCCAACTATATTACCTTTTTTAAAAAAAAAAAGTCAACTAAAGTCAACTAATTCATTCCCTTACATATGTGCTTAATATACACCAATTCCAAAGTCTAGCTTTTGACTTTGTAGGCAAATTCTCTGAAAATAAAAATCTCAGTCCCATTAGATTACAGGTTCCTATCCTCACTCTGTCCTCTAACAGGTTTCCACCTTTTCCACTGGACATAAATATAAAATAAAGATAGTTCAAAATCACCTTGTATTTCAAAAAGTTGTTCCCACTAATGAAAGGTTTTCTCCCTTCCAGAATTCACATATGGCCCAGCAGCAACAGGAATTACTCTCCGGCAAGCAAAGTGGGAAACTCTTGAATCATCTAGTGTCAGGACACAGTGGCCCATAAAGAGAGAATGGGGGCAGGGGGCAAAGTCAAACTCTGACAAAAATGTAGATTTTATCTAATCAGGAGAAACTACACAAGTGAACATCACCTAGGAAAATTAAGCTTTCCTTCTATTTACAATAAATTTTGAGGATAAGTATCTTCAGTATGTATGACTCCAGAGGCTACTCATCTTCTACTGTTACAGATTGCTCCAGCCTATTTGCATTCTGAAAAGAAGTTTCATGATCTTTCATGCTCATAATAGATGTCTAAACCGTTAAATTACTATTTCTTTTCTTATCTTGAAAGACACTGCACTTCAACAGCATGGCCCTTCCATTGTTCTTTACACTAAGTCAGGTCCCTGAACAATACTGACAGCTGCTATCAAACTGTGCCATGCTCACTCTTGGTGCAGCTGCCGCTTGTAGGAACAGACAGGCTTCTGATGTGTCCTCCCCTCTGGGGAGAGGGCGTGAAACGATGCATGCTCAGTGAGGGGGAGCAAAGGTCCACTGAATTGTCAACCCAATTTTATGCTATTCAGATTTTCCAGGATGCACACTGTCCCTTTCCAACAAAATCAAGCATATGTCAGAGCATGAAACTTATTGTGCAGCACAAGATAATTACTGATGATATAAGACTGTAAAAGATGACTCTGACATACATTTAATTTTAGCATTATGTACATGCATGCAGCCACATGGTCAAAGAAATTTTTTGTCCAACACATTTTGTCATTCACAGTTTTGAATTTGTATGGTATCATTCAGAATACTTTCAGAAGACACATTAAAAAAAAAGTATCTCCTCTGGTGAATCTTAGATAATTTAAAAAACTAAACAGGTGGAGGCTTCTATTCCTGCTTCCAAAGAGCTTCCCCCCTCCCCCAAAAAAAGTTCTTAATTGCATGTGGTACTTGTAGAACCTATTGCTTTTAGAAGACTATAAAGTACAGACTTTAAAGAGAGGTACATGGCATACCTGAGCTAGCAAAATTTGGTTTGGATAAGTAGCACTACCCTAAGTCCATCAAGAATGTTTTCAAATAAATTTTAATACACATTTCCATTTACTGCATAAAATATTCTTTAAAACTAGTTCATTAAAAAGGGTTTTCCATTCCATTTTCATCCTAAAGAAGTAATTCATTTTAAAAAATGCAAGAAAGTACAGTTCTCTTTGCTAATCAAATACCACAAATGTACATGCACTGTATTTCAAAGATCAAATCAGGTATTCATAAAGTAATTCATTACACAAGCAAAGCATAGGGGAGATTGTGACAAATACAGATGTAATTATGTAGGTTTCTAAAATGTGATTAGCAAATCAACTAAGTAACAGTCAAAATTTGATACGAAGGGACAAAACTGCAAATTTTAAGGGGGGTATGTTTATGCAAAGCTAATCTGTCAAGTGTAATAAAGCAGCTTGAATAAAATTTAAGCTGAAAATCCACTGAAGGGGAGGAAAAGCTATTAAAAGGAAATGAAGGTCACCCTCCCAGTTTATTTCACCTAATTGACTGCCAATAGCTTACCACAGGCAAACCAACTGCAGATCTGCAATTGAGAAACTGATGAAAGGAGAGTTTTCAAGCTGAGGCTCATTCTTTTAATCCTCCCTCACTCCTGTTTTTTTTTCTCCCATCTCCAGTTGGGATGTAATTTTAAGCACAGATGGATTAACTGGTTCCATTGTCTGTAGACGTCATTGGACTATGGCACTGTTAATCCGTAGAGCAGCATGTCTAATTATCATTACAAAGTGTCTGAGGGAACTATAAAGACCAGCAGGGCATCTTCTCACAAGCAATTAACATAAATTGATAAATGAGTAATTTGAATCCGCTCAAGGCGTTCACATATGAATAAAATCAGAAAGGATAGGTTCTTGTTTCAGCTACTTCTTTCACTTAGTCTGGAAGGGCAGAAAACATGAGAAATATCCTAGACTTAGTGGTAGGGGAAATGAACTCATGCAGTGGAAGGAATGTAAGGTTCAGAAAGTTCATTAATACAAAGCAAATTACTTGTGATTGACAACCAGTCACTAGCAAGTAGTATTAACTTATTTCAGCATATTTAGAAGCACATACTTGGTGAAAGGCTATTAGAACACTGTCAGACAATTAATACTACTTCAAAAGCAAGTGAAGTTTCTTTTCAGTAGCTTGCTAATTTAAAATTCATGAAGGATTCACAAGAAAGGGAAAGAAAGAAGAATGAATAGTTGTACAGGCTCCAAGAACTAAAGTGTCACAAACCATGAGGCAAAGGTAACTAGATCAACTGACATACAATATCTACAAATAAACAAGCAACTCTTCTAATCATATTTCTTGCAGGAAATGTTTTGTTATACACAGTATCACTGCACAAAATTATGTTCTGAAAGTAAACTATTAACTTTATCCCTGCTAAAAATCTACGGGAAGCAAGGCAAACACTTCAGCAACATCAGGCATCAAAACAGTGTTAGGTATCAAAACATTAATCTTATTTTAAAAATAGCAAAACAGTAAGGTATGAAAGCAAGTTATACACACTGTAGGAGGTAGACCTGGAAGGCCACGTACCCCGATGATGGCATTCAGTTCAGCCATGGTCACTTGTTTGGCACGTTCTACAGCTTGGGCCACTTGCTGCTGATGCTATTAAAAGAAGGAGGAGTATGAGGAGGAATTTATGTTAAGGTATTGACCAGTCCAAATCAAACCAGGATCATAAACACCTGAATAACCAGTTTGTCTGAAGTCCAGGCTACCTATTACAAGACATTTTATGCAGATAAAAGGTAACAGTGCCCTATTTCTCACCTGCTCCCCCATGCCACTTCAGTATTAGTTTTCTGAAAAATTAATAAGTTTCTAATTCAGTTGACAGGACAATAATGTCAACTTCACAGTAGTATAACATTTTAACATTATATACTCTGCCCACACAGCAAAACTCACTGAAATAGAGTGCTTCACTGAACTCAAGAGTTACAAATAATCTTTGTAAACTGTAGTTTGAACAGACATGTCAAAAATAACAGGCTTCAAAATGTAACAGTAGCTGCCCACAATACACTACAATCGAAGTCATTCAGACCAAATGCAGGTTTGTAACGTTAAACAGTGTTTTGCATCTGAGCTAACTACTCACCTTTCGCGCTAAATTTGAAACATTATGTAGACAAGATAAGCATGATTATTTCATTAGATTCACATTTGACAACTGAATATCAAATAAGCAATCACCATGATTAGAAATGAAAGCATTTTTTGTGTTAGTAATATTTTACAGACTCCCACTCTCCTCAGGCAATGAATGAGGCTGAGTCATTGTCACTAGTTTGAACTCAGATTTGTTAGACCAAATTAGCAGGGGGTTTGCACACTTCAGCTGTAACAGATGTTCCTCACGCTTGTGTATTGTGATAAAATTAACATCTTAAAACTAGCTAATTTGCAAACAGAAAAGCAACATAATTGCACTTTAACAGTTGAACAGTTTTACTTACTTCCTGAGACAAAAATGGGATGACTTGTGCACAAATTGTATTCAATCTCTTGGCGATTTCTGTCTATAGAGGAAAAGTATTTTGATTAAAAACATGGTTTAGGTTTGTTGCCACATATTAACTAGTGTACAGGATTATATTAAGTTCACACGGTGAATAAAATAACAAAAAATCCACATCTTCATACTACTGCAAATATAAATAGTTTATATACAAAAACTCAGATAAGGACAGAGATTTAGTTAGCTACTCTAGGACATCTGCCATGTCTAAAGCACCTAATCTGTATATGCATTTAGGCACAAATCTGGTCCTTGTACATAGCTCATTAACAAGGAAAGCATTTTTGAAATCCATGAAGTTCAAGATAAAGCCTTTTAAAAGGTAGATTTATTATTACTCTAATTATGAATCAGCAGAACATGAAGGTGACAGGCATGGAAGAAAAATATTTATCATGATTAATTTTATCTGCCTATTAGAAGGTAAAATTAGTTTTGCTGACAGAAACACTATCAGGAGTACAAAAGAAATACCAAAACAGAAGCAAAGCAGAATGGAGACAAAAGGTACAGACTTCTAAAACACCCATACTGAGAGAGAATTAAAATAATGCAGACAAGAAAGAATCAGATCAGAAAATGTAATTATCAGTAACAGAAAGTTCGTGAAACCGTGAGTAACAGGAGAACAATAAGGCTAGGAACCAACAGAGTAGAAAAAATCCTTCACTGAAAGCAGCAGAAAAGACAGCAGGACAAAGTGTCTGAGTTCTACTTTTTAAGAACTTTATGTATCTCCCACTTTCGGCATGTCAACTTGAACACAGGATTTCTGGTGGGATACAGGGATCTTTTTCTCTCATTACTCAGCCTTACCTCGGCCTACAGATTTTCAGATTTCTGCATCTGGCCACCATTCAGAACCACCATTATAATTAACCCTCAACATACTTGCACATCTCCTACAGTTCTCTTTAAAAATCATCTCCTGCAGTCGCTGTAACACAACTGCACAAAACCAAAATTAGCATCCAGACGCAATCACAGCCTACATACAAAACACTCTGAACAGCTCTTGTCAGTCTCTGTCATATGATTAATCCATACACATATTTCTTGGGTTGTTTTAGACACAAGAAACAAGAGACCCCTCCTGAGAATTGCTAGGCCTTCCATGAAATGACATACATAAACTTGAGCAAAGAAAACCTCTTTCAAAGAAGTCACGTGAAAACATCCCTCCCATCATCCTGAGTTTTTTAGGAAGACACTTAGATGTGCTGATGCCTATACAACAGTCAAGCATTAATTAGGATACAAAAGCCATGCTCTCTCCTATGTTTCAGTGGACAGGTGATTTGGGATCTAAATACAAGTGGCAAAACTACTTTCCCCATCTCTGACAAACACAGGAAAAAATACTCAATAGCATTGAGACTTGTAAAACACTATGTCTCTCTGACATAATCTGAGGTACTCCACCTGACCAAAGTGACACATCCACTCTGAAGTTTTGCAGAGAAAAGTCTCTACAGCAGTTCTGGGATGGCTTCTTCCTAGCACTAAAAGATTCCCCTTAAATAAGGGCCATGAAGTGACAGTTGCTTTACAGCAAGCCTTTCTCCCTCTGCAGCAAGGCGACATCCTATTCTCAATAGAAACAGCTACTATTTCACCCATTACCACAGCCATCTGTTTCTGTTTTGTTTGGGCCACAACCATAAAATATCCATCATTCTGTGTGTGGCCTTTAGTACTGGTACTACATACATACTGGCAAAGGCAATACAAGGAAGTCACCAACTGTTACCAAATCTGTTGATACTTTCAATGTCTGTTAACAAGATTTAAAAAAAAAAAAAAAACAAAAAAACAAACCAAAAACATACACAGCTGTGAAAATCTATGTACTAAAGGGCATTTTTCCACATATCTAGTATGTCTCTTGAGAAAGCAAGGTATGTCAGCTATGGAAAGAAAGTCTGTTGCATAGCAATCTGGCTGATGTTTAGCTAAGATATTTAGGGTCTAAGAGGTTAATTGCCCTAGACCAATGGGACTACCTTTGTTTTTCAAGACAGAAGCCATGATGAATCATAGGAGGTGATAAGTGGGGAAAGAAAAAAGTAATGTAAGAAACTCGTTTGGTTTCTTCTGAAAAGTTCTTTGACTGTATGGCCTATAGAAGTCTCCATGTTCTGTAATACTGAGATAAGTATCCTTATTGTAGCTATAAGAAAAGACAAAAAAAGTGTTTTCAGTAGTCTATGAAACACGCAAGTTGTCCACATTATTGGGTTTTCCTGCACAGGTCCCAAATATTAGAGCTTTGCTGTAATAACACAGCACGCAGGACTGCACAGTAAGACAAGAGAATGTGACATCATGCAATAATTACCAGTCCCAACTCAGGTTGATTTGATTTTAAAAAATTATTTCCTTTCTAAAAAACAGGCATAATCAACTTTCTCCCCTTCCCAATCAATCTTACTTTAAAATTATTGACTCAAGTACTATCATGCCTTAGTACTAGAATTAAAAAAATTATATTTTGTCTTTACCAAAACAGTCATTATTGATGATCACATGTGAACAGCATCCTTAGTATTCACCCAGTGCTAAGTAAACTTAAAGTGTCCATGCCATGAATAAGTATATTTTGAGATTTCTTGCTGCTATTACAAGTGCCAGTTAAGAGACATTTACACTGAAATGAAACTTGAAGACTATTCTGTACTTTGTAACAGAAATATTTATCCACTACAATATTTCATACATCCCCTGTATGCTGCCCTCAAATATTTCACAAGAAATATTCTCATTCAAAAACATTACAATAATATTTTTGTTCTCCAGTGAGTTGTGACAGATTTTAATGCACATTTCACCTAATCTTGCCCATCAGGAGTTGCATGAGATTGTTTTCAGAACAGGGAAAAAAGAACTTTCATTACTTTAAATTTAAGTGTTCAAAAGGCAATATGCATTCACCTTTCAAGGTGAAATACCTGAGTCTATATGTGTGTATATATATACACACATGTTCATTCTTGAAAGCAAATACTTTTTTTGAAGGAGTCTAGGAGAGCTTTATTACTCAAGACTAGATATCAGTGAATGGTGGCATTAAGCTATATATATTCCAGATTTGGGACTCATGTATTTGAGAGTCTTAACAAGACAGTACTTATCAGTTACTTCTAGCAGCCTCCCAATATAGCATAGCTATTATCTAACTGAGGATATTGAGACGTGTAGAACAGTCAGAAGAATGACAAAGAAAATTTTGCAGAAAGCTGCTTGAGCACAGACAAACATGACTAATTGCCCATGTTCTTTAGCTCCTTGGTAAAGCAGACTTTAGATGCCTGCATCCTTCATGAAAGCCCTCCTAGCTCTATGGCAGCTCTTAGCAAAGCATCTGAAGTGCCCTTAATTGTTTGTGTTCTTAATGCAGAGCCTCTTGAATACATTCATTTTTAATAGAGGACTTGAGCGTTCGGCCCATCAAAGAATGACAAAACGACATCAATTCACTGGTTCTTGCTGTTGTAATGACTGTCTTCTGACTTATTTGTGAATGACAAACTTGTCAGACCCCTGACTGAAGTGCTACCCTCCTTTCTGAAGTATCATTAAAAATTAACATGAAGGAATTCAGCTGCATTTTATAAAATTAGATTGAGCCAACAGATTTTTTTCTTCACTTGTGTAATTTTTTTGCCTTCATTCAATCTAATTAAGGACTTAAATGTTTTGATCTAACTGTTGGCATACTCAAGTGTTTGTACTTAAGTTTGTCTCTTGCTAAAGTGAATTCTTAATATAATGACAAAGAACAAAGCAGCCATGCTAGTTACTAAATACATTCATTTCAACAAGTCATTTTACTAAGTAGTTAATAAAGAGCTTGTATATACAATGCTAATTTTTCTCCTCCTGCACTGTTAAAAATAGTGTTTTCCTTTACAGTAGTCTACTCCAAATCACTCTGCATTTGGACAGCCTGTACTTTCCAAAGCACCATGTAAGATATCCTACTTAAATCAACATTATTTCTTAAGCAACTACAGATTTTTGCACTGGAATGAAAAGAACAAAGCACAATACAAGTATCCAAACCCTGACTGTATTTCTCACAACACCTAACACCCATGTGTATTTCATCACTAATGCTGTGGAAGCTGTAGCCTACAGGAGCCACCACTCCCACTTTGAGTGATGAATGCAACCTTCCTCAGAGGAAAATTAATCACCTTTCAGCTTCAGAGGTTTCAACAGTAATAATTGTGTTTGCTTCAATCGGTGTCTACCACATGTCCCAGTAGTGACTTTAGCTACAGCATCTACAGTGATCTAAAGTTAAATCTTACAAAACATTATTTTTAACAATCAGTTGTCAGAACTGCTCTATTAGTGCTGAGATTCTTCATAGCTGTCCAGCTGACCTACCTTTACAAAATAATACCCCACTAAAAGTGTCCATTGTATGTCAGAAGCTTGCTATTCTTTCTCGCAAACTGCACTTCCTATATCACAAAGTTAGATCAGTATTTGAAAACACTCTATCACCACTTCTTAAAGACAGGCTTTACGTATTCTCATGTATTACCTTTTTATATACTTTAGTTATTTCAAACCAATTTTGAGAAACACATTTGTCATTACATTGGGAAGAATACAGTTTAGGAATAACATGATTAAATTAAAGCAAGAAAACCCAAAGTTCTGATAAAACCAACAAAAAGCATGTCCTAACCCATCCATTTAAAGCAAAAGAATCAGAGAATAATAAGCTTTTAATGCACAGAGAATATACTGTCAAATCACATTCACAAAAGCTTTAGAAGGCAATTCTTAAGTACTCTGCGTTCACTTACACTTTTAACACTAGAAAGCCAAGTGTAACACTGAACTCCTTCTGGAAGAACAAAATAGACTTCCTGTCATTTATAGCATGTAACACAGTAATCCACTAGGGAGTAAAGGTCAATGTTGCACTTTTGGTCATTACCGAATCATTTGAGATTATCTCTGGTGGGGATGAGAAGAAAATCGAAG